TGTACCAATTTACATTCTCACCGATTTACATTTTAAGTATAAAAAACTTTTAAAAGAAAAGCACAGCCTTGGGCTTTCAGTAAAGGTCACTCAAGTCAGAGGCTATGTTCACTGGGGATGGAGGGTGGGAGGCACAGCGTTTGAATGCAGAACTTTCTGAAAAAGGTCAGAGGAGCCTTTGACCAGTTCATAGATATTCTCTGTTTAGTTACTAGGTGCAGTGATAAATACAGTGATGCCATTGAGCCTGCTTTCTTGCAAACTATGAAGTCAAACATTTGCAGTAATGTCAACACTGACAACAATAGGAATAGCAAACATTTATTGAGGGCTTAGTATGTACCTTGCAAATTATAAAATGTAAATTAAAGCAGTGATGACTTGCTTAAGAAACCTGTTGGGAAAGATATGTCTTAATGAGAAGTGTACCCTAGCAGTGCTAAAAGAAAACTACTTTTTATTTAATGGGTTTCTTAGGTAGGTGCCTACCATGCAGAGTCTCATTAAATCCTGCCACATGGGTGTGGTCATTATTTCCAGATTTCCAGCGGCAGGGAGTAGTGTCAGAGTCAGACCCTGAGGCAGGGTTTGTGTGACTCCGAAGCCCACACTCAAACTCTGTGAGTTTCCTGGGCCATGTGGGCGGTGCCACTGGGAAGCCACGTGCTGCAGTCAGGTGGGCCAGGGACACGCCTTCCTAAGGTGGATTCCCTGGCGCAGACGTCGTATCCTTTCAACTATCTGTCCATCTTTCTGGTTATGCTAAGGGAAAGTCAGTTCGTTATCATTTGTCTTATATGTCTTCCTCATAAGGACATGTTAGTCTATGTTTTGAGTAAGACAACTGTATCTAACTAGAATTTATTCACACTGGTTGCTTTAAAGCATTTATTTTTATGACTATTTTTGGCATATGATACGGGTTTTCCACTTGTGGTAATAATGGAAAGTTTCTAATTAATATTTTTTAACTTAAAATTTTTTAAAGAAAAATAAAAAGATGTGTCCCACTTTTCTGTATCTTCTTTCCACTCAAAAATAACTCCTTCTTCCATTTTGGTCTGCTAGGTTTTTTGTTTCTGTTTTCTTTCAGTTAATCCTCCCTTTTTGCAAGAACTAGGAAAGTTCTTTATGAGCAGTTGTGGAATGAGGTATGGTGATTATTATTTTTTTAATTTTAAATTTTAATTATAAATAATATAATTATTTTGATTAGAAAAATAGATGTGCCATAATCTCTCCATTCCAACACAGTGCCATATCATTTTTCTTTCCTGTTTTTTCCTCATGTGCATTGGTTCTGGTTATGATAATATTCGTTGAATATTTGTTAATAGGCACTGTTTCTTAGCATTTTGCATCTAATAACTTGTTTAATCTTCTCAGCCACTTATGATACAGATACTGTTAACCCTGTTTTGCAGATGAGGAAACCAAAGCACTGCGAACTGAAGAAACTTACTAGAAGGACTGGAATCCAGGGAACTGGTCTGAGCTTGTGCTTTTCACCTCTCTACTGAGGGTTCCCACCTTTAGCTGTGTTTCATTAACACTGTTGTTGTTACGGCCTGTACTTATTTTTTTCCTTTTCATTTAAGCCTTACTTATAAACATTTTCCTCTTCCTGTGTAGTTTTCTAAATTTTTTTAAAAAATTTAAATTAATTTTGGTATAATTTACCTGAACTAAAATATGAATTTTAAGTGTTCGATGGATGAGTTTTGATGAATGCCGACACGTAACCATCACTATATTTAAGAGAGAACATTCCCATCACCCTAAAGAGTTCCCTGTGACCCTTCCCGGTGATTTCTTCCCCTGCCCTTCTGTCCCCATTCTAAGATTTCTTGTGACTTCATTTTCAGCCCATGAGTTATTTAGCAACATACTGTTTGATTTCCAAAATTTGTGAATTTTTCAGGCATCTTTCTGTTATCAGTTTCTAATTTAATTCCATTGTGATTAGAGAACATAATTTATATGATTTCACTTTCAGATTGGTTGAGCTTTTGGTTTATGGTCTAGAATCGTGGTTAGCACATTTATTGTTTAAAGGGCCAGATGGAAACTCTCTTAGGCTCTGTGGGCTCTATGATCGCTGTCGACTTTGCTGTTGTAGCATGAAATTCATATGAAACCCATTCATGCAAATGGGATTGTCGGTGCTCCAATAAACTATTCTCTGTTAATGTAGCCAACAGGTAGGCATTGGCCTCATGTTGTAGTTGGGTAACCCCTGGCCTAGAGTATGGTCCTTGTTCTGTGGGTGCCTGGAAAGAATCTGCATTCTTTTGTTGTTGGGTGAATGTTCCAAAATGCTAGTAAGGTCAAGTTGTTTTGATAGCGTGTCTCAGATCTTCTATGTCTTTAATGATCCCCTGTCTACTATTGATTACTGGGAGAGAAATGTAGAAATCTCTAACTGTGTTATGGGTTGGGCTATTTCTCCTTTCATTTCTACCAGTTTTTGCTTTGTGTATTTTGAAGCTCTGTTGTTAGGTGCCTTATACTCTTAGGATTGTTATATCTTCTTGGTGGACTACTTTATCATTTACTAATGTCACGCTCTGGCCTGAGGAACACTCTTGTTCTGAAGTACACTTTTCCTGATAATAAAATAGCTCCTCTGGTTTACTTCTCTCGGGGATCACTCCTACATTGCCTAATGTCCAAAAATAGGTATTTCCTATATTGTGCCCAGTGTTCTAATTTTTTGAGGAGGATAGGCAGGTCTAGTCCCTGTTATTTTGTCATGAATGGAAGCAGAAGTCCATACCTGTCTTATCAGTAAATGCACAATCTGCCGTCGGCAGTGGCACTTTTATCCTCTTAGGTGTTCTCTTAGTGAAGACTAGTTTGCGTTTTTCTCCTATTTTCTCTATTATAAACAATACAGTGAACATCTTGGCTGTAGTTTTTCACTATTTTGACTAGTTCCTTGGAGCGATTCCCAGCAAGTAAGATCATCGAGTCAAAAATTATAAACACTCTGATATATTTTAAAGTATATTGCAATTTAGTTTCCAAATATACTTTCCAGTAGCTTTTGAAAGTTATCTGAGATATGTTTTACCAATATTGAGGTAGCTATACTTGAAAATCTCAACAACATTGCTTATTTTTAAATTTCTTTGAATTCTAGAAATGTTGAGTATGCTTTTATGTATACTCCTGTATTGTTCTTTTTTTCTCTCTTTGCATATTTTGCTTATTAGTTTACTAGGGTGTCGGTATTTTTCTTGGAATAAAGATAAATTTATCTGTGCAAATGTTTTTTAATAGTCTGTTTGCCTTTTTTTAAAAAATGTAATTATACCTCCCCATCTTTTCTTTTGTGATTTCTTATACAGCTTACACATTTTTGAAGTTCTATTCAGATTTGATAAATATGTAATTATGTTTTTCTTTTAAAAATTATATTAAAAATTTTCATTCAACAAATTGAAACTTTACCTAACACTTACTCTGAGCCAGTCATTATACTAATTGTTGGGGACGTGATAGTGACCAAGATAGAAATGGCCCCTGACCATATGGGAGTAGGAGCAGGTGGGTACTTGTGAGGCTGTTAATCTAATTCTAGCCTCCTATGTGACAGGTGAGAAATCTATTAATTAAGCACCCATGATGCCTATTCTGTCATCTCTTAGAATTTTTTTTTGCTATAGTAGTGTGAGATTGTGTTTTAAATTAGTTTTTTTTTTTTCAGATTGCCAGCTATTTATTGGGTCAGGGTTTCCCACCCATTGATTTGCATCATCTTCATGACCCATAATCCATACCATGGAGGCAGTATAATGTGTGTGTTCTGGAGTCAGGCCGAGCTGTGTTTAGATCCTGGCTCTCCATGTACTGGCCAAGTCACTTCTGACATGTTGCTCATCCTTTCTAAACTTTTGTTTCCTCATCCGTAAAGTAGGCTGGTAATATCATCTACCATAGGATTATTGGGACAACTAAATGCAAAAGGGGTAACATTTTTTTTAAAGGCACTGCCTTATTATATAATTGTCAGGGGATCTTGATGAAAAATTGCTCTCTACATTGTAACATGATATGTCTCTCCATAGGTGAAAGCAATAACCATACCCAAAACAACATATGGTATGGGCCTGAGTTACATCAAGAAAAAGCTCATTCCACTAGGCAGTGTTCACTGATTTTTTTTTGTTTCTGAGTGAGATGCAAGCATAGCTTCCTTTTCACACTCTCAGCAAGACCCTTTCATCCTTGTTGGAGGGCACGTGGTCTTTCCATTAGCTCAGTGACATTGAATTCCCCATGCATGTAGGTGAGTGGAATATTGTATGAACCTGCATAACTTCAGAATTCAAAAAAGCACAGAACTCCATCAGACTTCTTTGCCTCTCAGGTGCAAGGAGGTCTTGGGCCTTATCATACTTCGATTTGTTTCTTTTGTTTTGATGTCAACTTCATACACATTTTCATTCTTGCTTCTTCTGGTCACAGTCACCAGGTCTTGGCTGGTACTTCTCCTAGATACATTAGGCACCTTTTCTGGATTTGTCTTCCTTTCACACTCTCAGCAAAGATCCCTTCCATAATTTTCAGATTCACAGGGGGCAGAAGTAGCAGCTAGCCGAAGGAATGCTGGGAAGGCGGAATGGGAGGCCGAGGAAAAGAGGGAGGGCTTTGTGTCCAACGCCCACTCAGCTCGTGGTTCTCAGGTCTTCAGCAAAAGCTCTAGGGGAGAACAGTGCACATGAGATCTTCCTGTCTCCTAAAATGAATGTGTTTTTTCTTTTTCAGTCCTAACTTAAACTAGATTGTTTCCAACTCTGACCTCTCCATTTGCTGGTTGGCATCTTAACCTTCACGTGTCCATCAGAAAGAAGCAATTTCTGGGACAAGATTTCAATCTGTGTGTAGCAAACATAGTTCAGAGGAAGTCCTAGAGGCGGTGGAGGTTGGTGGCTATGCCAGGGTGAAAGTTATGTTTTAAGTGTGATGTCATCCCCAAGTAAAGTGAAGTGAGCCGGATGGCGAACGAAGATGCAGACAGCTGTGCCCAACTCATGTCAAAGCCCCAGAAACCCATCCAGCCTTACATCTGCTCCACTCTGAATGATTTCAAAGAAGAGAGAGACTTTTTGGCAAACCGCATCTTCCCTCGGCTCAATGAACTCTGCAGCTCGCGGGGCACGTATTTCAAAGCTGTGGACCTGCGGCGGTCAGCGTTGAGGGGCCACTCGCCCTTGCCCTTCAGCCTGTGTAAACGGCACGTTTCCCTCCACTCCCAACATCTGAAGCTCTGCCTCGACTATGTGAACAGCTGCTTTCCCTTTTTCATCTGTATGCTGGGTGAGACGTACGGGGACTTTCTCCCCGACTACTTGCCTTTCATGTTCACCAAAGCCACTGACTTGTCAAGCTTGTCCCGAGTGGAGCAGAATCTCTACGTCGCTGCAGAAAACGGTTATCCCTGGGTCCTGGAGAATCCCAACTGCAGTCTGACAGAGCTGGAGATCATCCAAGCAGCATTTCTGAATGAGTCTCGATTTCAGTATTTCTACTTTAGGACCGGAGCCACGCTGCTGAAGGCTTTGGATGCAGAGAAGGAGGAGAAGCTGTCCTTAGGTTCTCTGATGGACAATGAGGAAAAATTGAGGATTGGCAAGCTTAAGGCCAAGATTATTAGCAAAGGGCTCCCTGTCAGATATTATAGAGACCTCCAGGAACTGGGTGAACTGGTTTTCAAGGACTGGTCGATTGTGATAGAAAAACTGTACCCAGCCACCTGCATGACTGAAAATATAGGTCAGTAAACATGGAGATAGCTAAATCTATTATCAGCATAAAGTTAATGTATTTTGTATGTCTGCCTTGTGAAAGGAATATAAAATGATTGAGTATATTCCTTAAACACTTAAAATTGTTACCATATTCCTATAACGTGTATTTCTCCACTTGAAGATCTTTGAAATTGAAACTAAGAGCAAATAATGGATTATGAAAGATTAGCAAGTTAAGGAGCTCACAGAACACCTAAAGTATCTAGCAGTTATAGATATTTTTTTTTGTAAATCTAGGGCAGAGGTTCTCAATGAGGGCTGATTTTGCCTCCAAAGGGACATTTGTCCATGTCTGGAGACGTTTGTGGTGTCCTGGTGGCATCTAGCTGGTGGAGGTCAGGGACACTGCCAAGCATCCTACAGTGCCCTGGATGGTCCCCCATACTAAGGAATTATCCAGCCCCCAAAGTCGGCACTGCCGGGGGTGAGAAACCCTGACCTAAACGGATGAGAACTAACTCTTATTGATCACCTGGTGCTTATGTTATCATACCTAATCTTTAAGTTTTAGCCTTACAACGTAGGTACTATAATTCCTATTTTACAGATGAGCACATGAAGGCTGTTTTGTAACAGTTAAGTGACTCACCTAATGTCACATAACTAGTGAGGGACCATTTTGGGATTTGAACCCAGGTTCTTATGACTCTAAAATTCATTCTTGTTCTCTTTCATCCTTACTGTTCAGAGGGTAATCATTGATTCTCTAGTATCCTCAGCATCACCTGGGAGCTTGTTAGCAAAGCAGGATCTTGGGTCCCATTCCAGGTCTACTGAGTTAGAATTTGCACATTCAAGTTTGAGAAGCACTGCCTGACATCATATTGCCTCTAAATGAAATGATTACCTTTATTTTTGAAAATAGCATCATGTGGATGTGCACCATATCAAAAAGGGAAGAGCAATGTCAAAGTTTCATAGTGCTTCTTCACCTAGTCAGACTTCAGGAGAGATGTGTGATGTCCTTACAATTATATGAAGAATGGAAAGTCCATATGCAATGTGCATTTTTTTGAGGGGGGATAGGAAGATGGACTTTGTCTTTAATTAGATTCTCAAAAAGTTCCACAACCCCCTGCCAAAAAAGGTTATGAATTACTATTGTAAGGGCCCAGTTAATACGGGAACACAGAACGAAGGGCGGGTGGTGCATTCAAATGCTTTTAAGGACCCGGCAGTTGGTAGTCCTTGTAATATGATGGAGCGCAGAGGAGTCTGTGGTGAAGGGAGAGAGCTGACCCACCTAAAGTCATTCAAATGCAGTGTCGTGGGCAGGGGTGCAGGTGGAATCCCATCTGTGCTGGTCAAACAAAACTGTCCACGAGTCAAATCATTTTGGAGCCCTGGAGAAAAACACTGTGCAATCATAATTCTTTTGGTTGTAAGTGACCCAAACTGGCTTCCACAAAAAGGAAATGTGTTCATTTATACAACTTCCAAGCCCAGGATTAAGTCTGATTCAGTTCAGTCTTTACCCAGGCCCTGGTTCTCACCTAGTCTCCCTGTGTTTCTGCTGTCCTGATGTTGCCACTACTCCGTGGCTTCTCCGCCATGGAAGGAAGAGGGCTGTAGCAGCTCCAGGTTCAAGTCCAGCAGAAATGGTTCAAGGTCCTAATGTGAATCTTTCTATCTCTGATTAGTCTGAGCTGGACTGTATTCTTGTATCTGTTGCAATGGCTGGTACTAAGAGAATGTGATGCTCTGAGGGGTAGCGCTGGGTCATGCGCTGCTTTTGGAGCTGGAGATGGAGTCAGACACACTGGAGTAACGTGAAGTGAGAACTGGGACAGGATGGGATCTCAGCTGATAATCTGGGGTTGTTACCCAAACTAGGGTAAGGGGAATGGGTGTTGGGCAGCTGAAAAATATCATGAATATCCACTACGGGCTTGGAGTTCTAAGGACAGACACACTCTCAGACCCCAGATTTTTCAGTTCCTATCTTGTAACCTTGAACAAATGACTTAATATTGGTAAGCCTTAGTTTCTTCTATGTGATATGTTAACATTAACCTTGAGAGTAAATGACCTGAAAACAGTGTGTGACACAGATAAGGCACAGGGTGAATAGCTAGTGAGAGTAAATAATAACAAATGAATCCTGGAAGAATATACACATTTGGTTAACATCTGGAATATAGTTAGTAGTGATATTCTTCAGCTAATATCAATCTGAACTGCACCTGCTGATTAATATTTAGTAATACGTTCAAGAATCAAGCCTTTTACCAAGGAGGGAGATGACAGGGGAAAGAAGGGGAAGTTTCAAGTCAAGGAGCAAGTATAAAAGACCCACAGACAAGGAAAAAGGGAGGGGGAGGATTAAATGTGGGAGGTGGGAGGTGGGCTGGGCAGGGGAGAGTAATGGGGGAAAGTGGGGACAACTGTGATTGAACAACAATAAAAAAGAAAAACAAACAGAATTAAGCCTTTCTATGTATTTGGGTTAGGGACAGATCATTTCTGCATAGTATTTTCCATAGTCTTTGATTTTGGTTATTATTTAAAGATTAGCTTGTTTTAGACTTTACTTTTGAATGTATGATATGTGGACCAAATGTCTGAATTAGAAGGTGCAGAAGGATTATAAAAAAGGTATTAGAAAGAAGTCCTAAATTATTATTATGACTGTTTTTCGGATATTCAGGGCCCTTTAACTGTCCAGTTTGTTCCAAAACCTCTCAGCTTGGGTAGCAACAGGCCATTTAGGTAGCTGGTAGTTACTGTAACACAATGCAGAACTATCAGGTCATATTCTTCACCCTTAGAAGCATCTCTGAGGTCCTTGGAGATGCCTGAGATTAGTTGGTGAGGTTCAAGATTGGTTCAAAAGACCCACTGAACTGTGGGGTCACCCCAAATCCTGTGTAGAATTTTGAAGTTTCAAGCTGCCCTTGGCCAGACTGTAGGTCTTCCAGGTCTATTCTGGCCCTAATGTGGACCACAGAGCAGCCCAGTTAGCTATGCAGGTGCAATGTGGAAACCTTGGGAAGTTACCAGGCTAATCTACCTGGTGTTCCTTTTCTGCATAACAACTTTCCCCTACCCTACCCCAGTTACACACACACACACACACACACACTCATACACACTCACACACTCATACCTGGGGAGTAAAGTTGCCCCCAGAAATAGGAGGTTATTTTGGCAGTCCAGAACACCCTGACTCTAATTAATTAGGAAATAGTTTAGAATCACAGTAAATTGACACTGGAAGGACTCTCAGAGATGATCCAGTCGTCTGGTCCTGCTCCTTATTTTACCAGAGAGAATAAGGGACTTGTCCAGTAGCAGAGTTGCAACTGTACCTATGGTCGTCATGGCATTAGGGTGTCTTATCCTAAAAATACACCCTCCGTCCCCAACCCCTGCCATCCATAGACACACATGTACCTCACAAGATTTAATCAGATATCTTCATTCTTAGCTAACAATTTGAAAAGATGAAGTAATATAGGTATGTAATAAAGCTACTTTGTTTTTGTTCATGTCATTCCGAAGTCATGAGATAACCTGGAACCCTAAGTAGGAGTTCCTGTACCCCTAGCATTAGGAAGATTAAATTGCTTGATTTGTGGTAAAACTGCTCACCTAGCCATGGAGTTCACTTCACCTCCAAAGACAAGTACAGCTCATCCTCATTGACCCTCTTAACCATCCATCCTCAACATTAAGGAAGGGCACGTGACACGGCTGAGAGTGATCACACTGGTGAACTTCAGCAGTACACAGCTAGCCCAGAGTGGATTTTTACAAAAGATTTTATTTATTTATTTTTAGAGAGGGAAGGGAGGGAGATAGAGAGAGAGAGAGAAACATCAATGTGCGGTTGCTGGGGGTCATGGCCTACAACCCAGGCATGTGCCCTGACTGGGAATCAAACCTGTGACACTTTGGTTCACAGCACGCGCTCAATCCACTGAGCTACACCAGCCAGGTGGATTTTTTTTTTTTTAATTTGAGACATATTCATGTGGCTGCCAGGGGATGCATTGGCTTTCACTCGAATATAGAAGGGGTTGTGGACTATGGAGCCAACCCAGAAAGAAGGTGATACAGGTACAGAGGGGTCAATGCCTTCCTGGGCTTTTATAGTAACTGTGTAATCGAAAGTGTGAAACTATGAATCTTAAGATATTAAAACTTATCTTTTTGGCCACAAAGACTACAAGCACAACTCTGAGCGTTTCTATCACGAAGAGTTTACTGAGAAGTGCCAGCAAGTGTTTGCGGCTTCCAAGGAGTCACACAGAACGTTTGAAATCTTGGAGAGATTTGCCTTAAAGGAATTGGAATTTGATTCTGACAACGCAGCAGCGGGTTCCCGTTCGGACTCTGTTCTCGGGTAAGACATTAAGAAATCCCAGCCTTTTGTACCAGGCTCAGGCAAAACCAGCCTGACTTTAATAAATGCGACTTCCCCAAATTTGGAATTTCTTCTGTCGCTTCTCCCATTCTGTGCCCATCCCTTCCTGTATGTGAGGCCCCTCCTGAAAGCCACCCCTGGCTGACAATTTCCTGATTAGATATCACTCTGCATGTGCAAAGGTTTCCTGGCTATTTCATGAACTTTCTTCCAGTTTCCTCAAGAAGATGATAAACTCTTGCAGGGCACGGTATTTGCCTCTTTTGTTTCTCGCATAGATCAAAATTGGTCTAAGTAATTCCTGACAATGATGGAATAGCTTTAAGGAGACGGAATTAGATTAGGAAATATGAATAATGCATCTGCACAGTGTTGCATATTTTACAAAGAGCTTCCCCACACATCATCAGCCCATTATTAATTACATTTACATATCCAGCCAGCACTAATTAAATGCCTACCAGGGGCCATGTCATTAATTGTATGTAGGCATAAGGAACAGAGTTACCTTCCCCAAAGCATGCGCTCTTTCATGTTTTAGCTGGGGTCCTCTACATGAAAACCCCCACCTTTTCCCACCCCGGGTGGTGACGTATGCTGTTTCCCACCCAAAGGCACGAAAAGGCTCAGATGTGAAGTAAGCACTGCGGTTGTCTCGGGTGTCCCTCCCAGTCTGGTCCTTAGAAATAGGGAGGTTTGGGGGACAGCTGTATTTCTTCCATCCTCATCCTCCAGCTCTTACCACAGATGTCACTGATGCTGTGGGAGTTGTGTGGTTTGAGATGAACCCCGGTGGCCGGATGGCTCAGGGCTGCCCTTCACCGTCTGTGGCCCTGTCTCAGTGCCCACCAGCTCAGCCCACTAAGGCGCAGAGCTCCCGGCATTCTTGTGTTTCTGGGAGCCCATGCCAGGAGGAAGAGAAGTTATGTGGTTAATATAGCATGGCACTCAGTTAAAGTTTTTAAGTCCATAGGATCTGAAACATATAGATGGCGTGTTACACATGCTTAGGTTTGAATAGGCAAAGCTATAGAGACGGAAAGTAGGTGAGTGGCTGTGAGGGGATGAGGGTGGGGAGGAAACAGAATGACTTCATGGGGGTGAAGTTCCTTTTTGGGGTGCTGAAAATGTTCATGGGTTAGATAGTGGTGATACTTCAACAACCTTGTGAATATACTGAAAACCATTGAATTGTACACTTAAAAATGGTGATTTTGGGGGGCATGTGAATTATATCTCACTTAGGTTATATTTTAAGTACTTTAGAGTGAACGAGAGATTTAATGCGTTTTATTGCAATTAAACAACTACAGTTGTGCCAATAAAATACAATTGAGTAAGTCCTTTGAGAAGAGCCATGTGGAATCATTCAGAACTCTGTTTGCTTTGCTGGTTGGAAAAAATACTATGTGCTATAATTTTCTGAATAGTGTGTATAGGTAACAGAAAAGGGCATTCTCTTGAAGTTTCAAAGTATTGTGTTGATAACCAATCATCTAGAGCAAATAGCATTTTCCCCTTGTTTTGAAAGGAGCCACAGAATGCTTTGCAGTGTTTTTATTTTCTATTTGTTTTTGAGAAGAAATCATTAGGACCCTAGCCTAATTATGTAGATGTATTATCTTTGTACTTTCCCCTTACTGATTTTTTAAAAAATTTTTATTTATTTATTTTTAGAGAGAGAAGGGAGGGAGAGAGAAGGGAGGGAGGGAGAGGGAGAGAGAGAGAGAGAGAGAGAGAGGGAGAAACATCAATGTGCGGTTGCTGGGGGTTATGACCTTCAACCCAGGCATGTACCCTGGCTAGGAATTGAACCTGGGACACTTTGGTTCCCAGCCTGCGCTCAATCCACTGTGCTACGCCAGCCAGGGCTTTTCCCTTACTGATTTTATCTGCTAAGAGCCCAGAAGAGTTTTAGACATGGGTGATATGGCAGTGAACAAAAGAGGCAAAAATCTCTGGTAATAATTTCACAATATAGACATATATCAAGTCATCATGTTGTACTCATAAAACTAGTATGATGGTATATGTCAACAGTCTCATTTTAAAACAGAACAAACAGAAGAATTGCATGTATATATATTCTAAGATCTACATAAAGGGAAAATGCATAGAAGAAGAGTGAAGGGAAATGGGATGAAAAGGGAGAGAAAAATCCCTGCCTCCATGGAACTTACTATGGAGACAGGCAGTAAGTATAATAAATGTGTGAAAAATATAGTAGATTAGATGCCTTTGAGGGCTATGGAGCAAAATGAAAACTTGGAAGAGAGTAGGCCGACTGGTAGGAGAGAAGGCAGCATGTGGGTAACTTCTGGAAATGGGGGAGGCAGGAAGCTTTGCAAATATGGGTTAGAAGGATGGTCCAGACAGAGGGGATGACAAGCACAGAGGCCCTGGGGCGGGAGGAGTGGCAGGGAGGCCGAGCAGCTGGAAGGAAGTTAGAGCTGCCTGCGGGGAGGGCGGTAGGGGTGAGGCTAGTGATGCAACGGGTGGGGGCAGGATGTGGGTTTTGTCTGGTCTCATGGGTCGCTGTAAGGACTTGGGCTTTCACTGCTTTTGAGCTGAGCAATGACCTGTATGACTCATTCGAAGGCTCACTCTGGCAGTGTGGCTGAGGATAGTCTGAATGAGGGACAAGGTGGACTTGGGACACAAAATCAAATCCTGCCAAATTTGATGGTTGAATAATTAAAGCAATGAGATACTAGTTTCTGATTCATATAAATGGAGATGGAATTCTTCTGGAGTAACTAGTAGTTAATGATTCTGCTCTAGGGTTCTTGGTTAAATGGGTTTTCAGACTGATCCTCTGGATTCGCTGACACTGAATATCAGGTTTATTTATTTTCATTCCTTCACTCACTCAACACTTGATGATCAGGTACTGTGCCAGCCACTAACTATGCCACAGGGAATGAAAGAAGCCTGGCATCTGCCCTCAAGGAACTTGCAGAAATGAAAAATCACTAGACACATACTTATTGCGCCGCAGTGTGTAAGGAGCAGCTCTGGAGCCTCTATGCAGTGCTACCCACAGACCTGGGAGTCCTCTGCATGCCCAGAAGCTTTTCACTAAAAATTAAGCAGTGGGCCAAGTTAATTTATGCTCATGCCAGTTCAAAGGAACCGTATTTCTGCTGTAGTACGAGCCAGAAGACCCCAGTAGAGGACCAGGCTGCTTGCTCCTCAGTGAGTCCCTAACAACTAGGGTCATCTCGTCGTTGAGTTTCTAACATCATGGCGATCAGGGTTGATGGGTACCCTCGGCATATGAGGGCTAGAGTTTTTTATTCTCTCCTAATATGATGTTACCTGGGGGACCACTCTGCTGCTGGTGGCTGTTACTCTGGGGAGGGGTGAGCAGGGCAGATACAAGGGCAGTGGCCTGACTTGGAAGAGTCTCCCTCCCTGGGCCCTTTACGTAACCCTGTGTTCATATTGGACAGCCCTTGGGTCTGTGTGGCCGAAAGGCCTTATGAGGTTGCCATCTCTGTACTGCCCTGACTTTACGTAGGACAAAGCTAAAGTCCAGAGGGTTTTATTGGGAGCCAATAGAGGCCCAAGTTGACAGATGAGAATTCATATCTCTTAGACACAAACATATGTGGGAAAAATTTTCTCCCTCTCTCCATCCATCCCTTCCCCTTTTCCTTGGTAAATATTCTTAGTCAAGAGGATGTACTAATATTTACTAATGTTTTACCCCTTTATTTTTCAGACTACACTCTCCCTCAAGCTCCAAGTCTATTTTGCTCTTATCTGGAGAACGTGGCTGTGGGAAGTCCACTCTGATTGCCAACTGGGTGAATTATTTCAGAAAGAAATATCCCAATATCCTGATGGTCCCTCACTTTGTGGGCAGCACCTGTGAAAGCAGTGACATCATGTCTGTGATACATTACTTCATCACCGAGTTACAGGGCAAAAACTATGGTAATGGACTCAAACTTCCAAATGTATTCAGAAAAGTTTGTTAGAAATCAGTTATTCTGTCTTCTGCTCATGTGGCTATTTTCCTCTTGTTTTAATTAAACCCCTCTATTGTTTCAGCTACATATGTGCCCATTTCTTCTCACAGAATTAAGTTTTCTTCCTCCCTCCCTCCATCCCTCCCTTCTCTCCTCCCCTCCTTACCTCCTTCTTTCCTTTACCAAGTATTGAGAACTTTGCGTGCCAGGGCACTATTCTAGGCAGTGGGGATACAACGGTGAACAAAATGGACAAAATTCTTTACCCTCATGGACTTTTTTTTTTATAAAGATTTTATTTATTTATTTTTAGAGAGGGAAAGGAGGGAGAAAGAGAGAGAGAGAGAGATCAATGTGCAATTGCTGGGGGCCCAGCCTGCAACCCAGGCATGTGCCCTGACTAGGAATCGAACCTGCGACACTTTGGTTCGCAGCCCGCGCTCAATCCACTGAGCTATGCCAGCCAGGGCACCCTCATGGACTTTTCATGTTATTGGGGAAGGGAGGGAGGACAGTGAGTGAACTCACTAGATAAAAGGTGTAGACTGTTTGATGATAATAAATTCTATGGAGAAAAGCAAAGCAGAGAAAGAAGGCAAGCAGTGTGTGCATGTAAGAACTGTTAGGATTTAAACATTGTAGCCTGGCAAAGCCTAACCGAGAAGGCACATCCGAGCAAATACGTGAAGGAGGGGGCCAGGCCAGCATCGCAGAGGCAGCCTCCCAGTCAGAGAAGACAAGAAGAAAACACCCTCCAAGGCAGGATGTGGCTTTCAACTATTGTCCCTCCTCCTCATGTATTGAACACACTCATTTACTCGTTCATTCATTCAGAATATGTGCTGGTTGCCTGCTCTGTGTCAGGCGCTGTCTGGGTTCTGGGTGCATTGTGAGTGAGTCAGGCACATGAGGTCATGGCTCCCATAGATAGGATGTCCCAGCTGAAAAAGGCAGATAAACAAACAGGAAACCTAATGGTGATGCATGCCATGCAAAGGGATGTGATGAGGTGATAGGGTGTCTATTTATATTGAGTGACCAGGGAGTGTGTCTCTGTATTATGGTCATTCTAGGTAATGTAACAAATCTCATTTCAGTGGCTTCTCTAATGTGGTTTCTCACTCATGAAACAGGCCAGTATGGGGTTCCTAGTTAGGTGACAAGTAGCTTCCCGCCACACAGTGATTTGGGGACACATGCTCCTTCCATCTTGAGGTTGTGTCGTCCTGTAATGCCTCAACTCAGAACCTTCTGCGTCTGGCTAAAGGGAGAGGGAAAAAGTGGAAAAGGCACACCTGTTCCTTTCAAGTTCCGGCCTGACAGCGATACACACCACTTCTACACTCGTTCTTCTGGCAAGAACCTGGCTACCCAGAGACTGCCCAGTCACACGGGCATGGGGGGGCTAGGAAGCTAACCCCATGCTCTGGCAGGGGGAGCATGAACTTCTGTAGGACAGGCAGCCCTCTCTGCAACAATCTCCAGGGACCTCTCACAGACAGGGAGCAGCCAGCCACGTGGCAATCAGAAGGAAGAACATTCCAGGTGGAGGGAACCGCGGAGGTAATACAGGCCGTGAGCTGGGAACCAAGCTGAGTGAGTGAGGAAGGGGAAGAAGAAGGCCAGTGTGACCAGACCGTAGTGGGCTGCAGCGGCCAGGTGCAGCCGGAGGTCAAGGCCGGGCTGCCTCACATTAGAGTCTTACAGGACGGAATGTTAGGTCTGGATTCTACCGAGTACTGTTAACCCAGAAGTAAAAGGCCTAAGTGGGAGGCAGCCAATATTTATTCAAGATAAAAGAAGAATTGCTATTCAGGAAGCACGGACTGGGGCAGAAGTCCAAACAGTGTTCTGATTCAGAGACAAAGACGATGGGTGTTTATGAGAAAGGGGAGGGAACAATGACATAGTAGAAGGAAGGCTCTTCTATGGGTGCAGACAAGCCAACCCAGTGACGGTAACTGTAAACAGTATTTCCATGTTAAGTCAGGTAGACTTCAGTCCAGTAGTCGTATATCCACTTTCTTGTTATTCTTGCAAACAGTTCTCCGGGACCCAATGCTGCTTTAGTGGGCCCAGTCCAAAGCTTATTTTCGCCAAGTTTAACCTTCCCAAGGTTTGAGGCATGAGACATGCAAGGCAGTTCCTCGGGGATGGCAGCTCTGACTCCATTTTAAAGTGGTTCCGTTTAATATTATTACTCTTTTTTACTGTGTAATGGGAGGCCAGTAGAGGGCTTTCAGCTGGGGTAGGACATGATTTCACTGATATTTTTGAAAGATCAAAATCAGGCTGAGGTGGAGAAAATGCATGTAGGGGAGCAAGCGTGGAGGCAGGGCCCTTGTCAGAGGCTATTGCAATGACTCAGGCAGGAGCTGAGGGTGCTGTGAGGGAGGGCAGTAGCCGTGGAGGTAGCAGGCTTGGGATGGATTGAGAATCTGCTGAGGAATCAAACGTCGGGGTTGAAGGAGAGGGTGGTAGTGAGGACAACTCCTAGTTTTTGGCTTTAGGGAACTAGGTGATGAGGGCCGTTCACTGAGATGGGACAGCATTGGAGGGGCGGGGCAGTGGCTTTTGAGGGGAATCAGAAGCTCTGCTTTGAATGTGAGATATTAAGGTACAAGGAATGCACAGGGAATGACAGCAGTCACGTGGGATCTACCTCTGTTCTAGGAGCAGTTGGGGAGCTCCACTGATACCGAGCTGTGTGACCTTGAGCAAGTTATTTTAACTCTCTGTGGCTCAACTCTCCCATCTGTAAAATGTGGGTAGTAAAAAAATGAAGAACAAAGGCACTTGGCACAGTGCTTGGCATATAGTAACTACTGATAAATACTAGCTGTTATCATCATCATCATCGTCACCAGGTGCCCACGGTGCGTTTACACGTTTGTGCATTTACATGTTTGTGCATATCTGACTGCCTGCTTTTGGGAATTCATCTGTTCTCCCCCGGGGCTGGTACCCATGTGTGCCTCTAGGTGCTGAGTGGGTACCTGGGGCCCAGGGTGAGTTGTGATGGATGTAGATTATCTCCGTGTGAGGGGACAGATATTTGAGCTTCTTTCTGTGGGTGTGGTAAATGTCTGTGAGTAAGTGGGGTGAACATGTGCACACGAGTTCTCCCTGGGTGCCTTTCTCAGGGTGTGTAAAGTCGTTGGTGTTAAAACTACAGGCAGCAGGTGTGAGTGGCTCCGGGAGGAGATGGCTAATCCTCCTCAGACACGTCCCGAAGGTGTTCATTGCAGCCACGCTAAGGTAGAGCTCAACCAGTTACACCCAATTATGAGTTTACTCCCAAAGTGAATTGTTATGTTAATGAGGTGTTTTTAGGTGCTGAAAGCCCCTAATAAAAACAGCTGCTATCTTTCAAACAAATAAATCTTTAGTGGGACAAAACTGAATAAATTCAGGAATGGCCTATGACACTTGACAGCCAGGTGACACCTTCTGTCCCTGAAAGAACACCCCTCCTTTTTGTCAATCGCTAAGTCATTTTGTTGCCAAGTATCATGGGATGATACTGGTTAACCGTTTTCCTCTCTCCGTAACTTCCCCCATCCCAACTGGGCATTCAAACACTCCAGATGTTACCATTTTAATTAGGTAACAGGCCTTGTCATTTAGTAGAGACATTTGGTCCTGCCAGAATAGAGAGAAATGTGTGGGGTCATTTTTCAATGCTAATAGTGCTGACTTTATCTTCAACATCATTTTGAGAAAAAATGATTTGATTGCCCAACATGTGATTTTATTTTTTTTATGTTTATTTTTTTAATTGCCCAACATGTGCTTTTAAAAACACTGAACATATGCTCTCCTCTGTATACCCAGATCTCGTCCACAGGCATCATCATCCTTGACTATTTGTTTGTTGGCCCAGGACTGTATTTTTGATGCTGATTATTAGTGATGTTGCGCTTCGTGGTTGTCAGGGTCTGTGTCCTTTGGGAGGTTCGCTCGCATTCATTTTGTAACTTAACCTCTAGGCCAGCTTTGAGACGGCTGAGCAATCCCTGCCTCCCAGGTGAGCTGTAAACACCAAAAAAACGGTGACAACAAAGCTTGAAATGCTGTCTTTAATGGTTCCTTGTTGTTTGAAGAAAGACTGTTAGAAAAATGTGTGTTTTAACAGCCCCTGATGGTGTGTGTGCTCACGTCCCTTCACGTCTCTAGGCCTCAGCTTCCTCACCTACAAAGTGAGCGGCTCGGACTAGACTAGATGAGGTCCGAGAACACCTTCTGCTCTAAAATTCTGACTTTTAAGGCCTGACATCCCCATGGTGCCCGTATTTTAAAGATTAAAACAAAACCTCAAAAGATGAAGCACCAAGATTAATATTTCTGCTCTTGCTCTTGACACATGTTATTTATCGTGTGACACAAGCTCAAACTCAATCTTTTTTGCTACCTTCTCCTTTATGTCTCACATTTGTGTGTAACTTTCTTTTTATTTATTTATTTATTTAAGATTTTATTTATTTATTTTTAGAGAGGGAAGGGAGGGAGAAAGAGAGAGAAACATCAATGTGCGGTTGCTGGGGGCCGTGGCCTGCAACCCAGGCATGTGCCCTGACTGGGAATCGAACCTGCGACACGTTGGTTTGCAGCCTGCGCTCAATCTACTGAGCTACGCCAGCCAGGTTATGTATAACTTTCAAGTCATTGATTTGATGATAATTTTCTCATATAAAAATATCTGTAAAATCAATACAACCCTCTTCTATAATATAAAAGAGGAGATCAAGTTATTTATTATAAAATAATGTGTATTTCCACATGCAAATGCGCAGACCTGATCCAATGGAAGGCAGTGGAGTAGGCAGGGGCCTTCCTCTCTGTGGCAAACGGCCGTGAAAGCAAGAGCTGCAAGAGCTCACTGACGTGGGAGTGTTGGGTTCAAGGCTCAAACATCATCCGCCATGTTGCTCTCAGGGTTGTGATTTTATGAAATAGTGGACAAATCTTGTTATCGTTTAAGATGAAATAATATATCATCTTCTATCAGTTTAAATGGCAATGGAATTCATAAAATTCAGTGTGTTTTTAACCCATGGGGAAAAGTATGTTTACTTGGAAAATGGGGTTGGTTTCAAGCTAGGTGATTATAAAGCTCCCCCTCCCCACGTTAAGTGCCTTGCAGAACATCTGACAGTCAGGTAGATCAGGGACTGAGCTTCCCCCCCCCGTGTGGTGGGATGTGTAGAGCCCCTGGAACGCCCTTGGTGAGTCCCACTGCTCTGAGCAACTTCCTGCTTCCTGAACGTTCACGCACCCCACTCGTTCCAGGCCTTCACCGAGGCCTCGTCTGGCTGGATGTAGCCTCGAGCTTGTCTCTACCTTCGCATTCTTCAGGGCTCATCTGAGATGTCCTCTCTGTGAACCTTGTCTTCATTGCGCTGGTTCTACATCAGACTCCAGCAGACTTCAGACTCATGTTCTGCCTTCAAAAGTGTTTTTTTTGTGTGTGTGTTCAGAACCCATTTCTACTTCCCTTAACTCCTTGACTCTGTATTATGGATCATTTTATCTCCCTCATCTCCAAGTCATCTAGTACAGAATCTTTCCCATAATAGGCATCCAGTAAATATTTGTCAAGCATAATTACTCCAAGTGGCTCGAACAGAATCTTAATGCATTTGAGAGACTTAATCCATCAGAGCTTCTTTGCATAACTTCATTTTTTAGATTCTAATGCGCCTAAGTGTCTACAGAAAATACTGCTTCTGAAAAATAAAAGGAAGAAGGAATCGTGTGTAGTAACATGCTCTTTGAATATTAGGTCGCTGATTATAAATTTTAGGTTGCTGCTACTATGTCACTTTATGGCAGTTTGAAAGGTGGTCTTCTCATATTACACCCTTTACCCTTTGCTGGTGCATAACTTAAGTCTTTCTGGTGAGTTTTGGAATCCAAGGTTCGGGGTCCAGTGTTGTGGGTAGAGGAGTTTAGGGTTGGTTATGTTAGGATGAAGATATGCTAGGACCAAAGAGACTAAGCACCGGGTGGGAGATGCCATGTGTGTGCACTGCTGCGCTGCCCAGGGTGGTGGCCGCGGCCCCTGAAAAGGCACCCGGAGTAAAAGGGGCTGCAGAAACTTCATCATCCCAGTAATCCAACCTCTCTCCTCCCGTTCCGCTCTTTGTAACATGCTTTTTGCATTTTGGAAAATGAGAGTAATGTTTTGGGTCATACACAATATTTCTTATATGAAATCCTGCAAATGTATAGGAGACATCTGGTGGTAAATATCATCATCTATTTTGGGTTGAATATTTTGAGGCTGCTAATGACACACAGACGTATATGTGTCAGCTGTACTGTTGTAATTAGCACCCATTGCTCCCACCCCTTCTGCTTCCCCATCCCATTAAATGTCCTAGCAATGATGGAACCATTTCTCTTAATTTAAGCAAATTTCTGTGCTATAGGTACTCAGCTTGAAACCGACGTTCTTAACGAAGACTCACATGTCTTGGTCTTCCCGCTTCTTGTACAAGTGTTCATTGCTTCCATCAGTTTAAAGCCGTGTGTACTTGTACTAGATGGAATCGAAGAGTTGGTTGGCATTTATGGCATTTCGGGACAGAAGGTAATCTCTTTTTTTTAGCATTTAACATTTGAGATTTTAACATTTAACATTTGAGATTTTAAAAAAAGATTTTATTTATTTATTTTTTAGAGAGGGAAGGGAGGGAGAAAGAGAGAGAGAGAAACATCAATGTGCGGTTGCTGGGGGTCATGGCCTGCAACCCAGGCATGTGCCCTGACTGAGAATTGAGCCTGCAACACTTTGGTTTGCAGCCCAAGCTCAGTCCACTGAGCTATGCCAGCCAGGGTGGGTAATCTCTTTTAAAAATAATACCTATTTTATAAGAAAAAAACCCCATAATTTAGAATGTACCTCTCCATTGCATTGCATATCTATAGCAACAGGCAGCATTGCTTACAGTTACTGCTCTACACTTTATGGAACAGATACTTATACAGCACTTAATGTGGGCCTGGCACCATTCTAGGAACTTCAGAGATCTTAACATCTTTAATTCTCACAACAACTGTATGAAAGAAAGACTGTGATCATCACCCTGTTTACATAGAGGGGACTCAGCATGGAGATGGATAGTGGTGGGCTGGGAACTCAGAAATGGGAAGTCTGGTGCTAGGAACTGTGGCCTTGACTCCCGCATGGTTCTGCCCCGCTATCCTATACTTTGGTCAGGCATTCATTTGGCCCCTGTTGTGTTCTTTGTGTTGTATATTTTGATCTGCCTCATCTACGCTGATTTTGCACTTACCAAATCCCGTTGATTGGTTACTATCTTTAGTTTTTTCCCCTGTTTGGAGTAATGTTGGATGAATGGAAGCTCTGACATGTCTTGATATCAATCATTACTTTGTAAAGCATTTTCTCTAAAACTATAAAATATATGTAGTTATAAATTATGTGAGTGATACATGTTTCTCATAGGAAATATGATTAAGGAGAATAGAAAATTAAATGTACTCACAGTCTCGCCACTGTTAAACTTGGTGTATAGCCCTCTTTTTCCTCCGAGTGTCTGTATCCACAGATCACACGTTTGCTTATGTAGATGAAGTTACACACCCTATTGTTATATAATTTGATTTTTCACTTAATACATGGCAACCACCTTCCATTCAACAAATAACTGTTGACTACTTACTGTGGGAAAGGCACTATAAGCCGAGACAGCCACGATGTCTGCAAATGGAGCTTTCATCCTAGCAGGAAATGGCAGCTATTAATGACGTCATCACACGAATAAGTATAAAAGTACCACTGTGACAAGTGCTGCCAGAGATCAGTGTGTAGTGTCCCGAGAGCCTCTACTGAAGGGACTTGACCTCTGGGGAGGGGTTTCTGGGAGAAGCACGAGGCAGAGCTCTGCCTGAAGGGGCTGTGCAGGCAGTTACCCGAAGCAGTTCGGTGCAGTGATTAGGAAACTGTCTCTGGAGCCAGACCCTCAGCCTAAGTCCCAGTTCTGCTTACTGTGGGAATGAATTAGATAAGACATTTAGCCTCTCTGTGCTTCCGTTTCCTCCTCTGACTTTCTAGAGGGTTGTTAGGAGGACCGAATGAGTTAGTGTATTAAATTATGCTCGGGATTTAATTTATAAAGGGGCAACGGAGTGCTGGGAAAGGCTGTTACAAGAATTTACAAGGATCTTATTAGGTGTTTATTTTATTCCAAAGTAAAACCATTTAGCGTAAGATCACATCACTGAACTAAGTGACAATTCTTCAGTGTAAAACAGTGTCTGTCTTTTTCAATTGCAAATGGCTCGATTTGCACTCTCTTGGGGTTCCTTTGGTCATACCTATAGTCCATTCTTCAGAAGTCTAGGATTTTGTTAAAGTATTGATATCTGCTTGTAGGAACCTCTTTTTAGAGTCCACATTTCACTATCAAATTCATAACAGACAGGTGTCAGTCAAGTGTGGTTCTAGGCGATGGGAATTGGTGTTTTCGTATCACCCTATTGCTGACTTCCAAGATACTACTTAACTTCCATAACTCCAACCCTTATCCTATACTTACTCCCTATATTCTACCAGCTCTCAGTTTAGAAACCATCAGGAAGTAGTTTTGAAATCTTTAAACTTTTCAAATGTCTTTGACTCCCCCAGGCAAAAGATTTCTCCTGGCTGCCACGCTCGCTGTCCCCTCACTGCAGGTTCATCATGAGCACTGTCTCCACCAGCCTGTCCCACAAGTCGCTGTGTGCCCGCCCCGACGTGAGGACGGTGGAGCTCATCAGCACAGAAGACGCAGAAGTGAAATTAAACATCCTGAGACACTATCTCTCCATTCCCAACAAAGACCCCTTCCAACAGATCAGACAGACGTTGAGCCAAAGAGCGAACCTCAATCCTCTAAAACTCACGATCCTTGCAAATGAACTGAAAGACTGTAGGATCTACCGAAATGAGTTTCAGTGTCTGAAGGAGTACTTGGCGGTGGACTCTGTTCAGGAGCTCTGGGGACTGATTCTGAAACGCTGGATTGAAGATTATAGCTGGACTTTTAAACAAAAAAAGGCACATTCAGATACCATGACTTCGGGAGGAGGTATGTGTTCACGGGGGGAAAGATATAGGGTGGACCCCCAACCCAAGGGGGAGGGTCTCGGGTTAGTGTTGTCAGAGAAAATATAGGATACCCAGTTAAATGTGAATTTCAGATAAGTAACAAATACTTTTCTCATGTAAGCATGTCCCAGACGGTGCATAGGACATACACTAAAAATTATTTGAATTACAGATAAACAATTAATCTTAAGTGTAAGTATATCCCAAATTTTAATGGGACATACTGCTATGAATAGTGAATTTGTGGTTTCCCTGACATTCAGATTTATCTGGATGCTCTGTGCTTTTATTTGCTAAGTCTGGCACCCTGCCCAGGCAGTTCTGTGGGCTGACTCTAAGGAGAATTGTATTAGGCACACATTTCAGTCATATTTTTCAGCGGTCTAAGAAATGGGCCTTTATTTATTTCTATAACTCTCTTGAATCTCTTTTGAGCCTACAGTTCAACTGACGGCAGAAAACCCAGGTAATTCAGGTTAATTCCATGAATTTTCTTTGTTTTCAGCCAATTTAGGGTTTTTTTCTCTTTTTTTAAATCAAGCATGGATTTGTGTGTCCTTCCTGGGTCCCCGTTGGGTTAAGCTGAGATCCGAGGGCCTTGGTGCTGGGTGTCTTTGATTGTCCTCTGTCCCTTCTGTGTTCCACTGAGGTGGCTGTGGTCCCAGATGGTCCAATGGTACTGACGTGGCTCCGTGTCTGGCATCCGTTAGGAGGCCTGCTTCCCTGTCTGTCCTTGGGTCGTTCCCTCTATGCTGCCATCTGCTGCCGCATTTCCTCGTCCTCCTGCGAGGAGGCCTCTCTCCTCAGCTAACTTCCATTCGCTTCTGGAGCCTACAGTCTTGTAGACACTCAACACGCCCGACATCGAATGTCTGCTCACTGCACCACGTAGAGGTCCCGACCCCACAGGTCTCCCCCAGCGCCCCAGGGCCATCTCTCCAGTCTGGTTCCTCCTAGGCTCCGGACCGGAAGCAGAGCTCAGGGCCTCCCTACTGTTGGGGGAGCATCCTGAGGGCCACTCCCCCCTGCTCAAAGCTAGCTGGGGTTTGGGGTGGGGGGCAAGGGCCCTGCTCAGCACCCCGTGGAGCAGCTCCATCGCTCTCTTCTCCCACTCCTACACCTTTCTTGGTTCAGCAAAGTCTCTTTTCTTCCTGGGCGGGGAAAAAAGTTTTCTTCCGATCCTCCTGTAATTGTCTGAACCTGTTGTTTTTTTAAAAACGTATTCCTTGAGTTGGCCAGGAATTTGTCTTTTTCATATTCAATGATCAGGCTTTTAAGTGTCAGAGTTTGTTCTCACGAATCACTGTCTGTGAGAACGTGAGTTTTTCTCTTTCGTTTCTTCTGTAACAACCTTCTTGTAAGGGCAGCGACTTTCGAATGGAGCAGGGATGGGAACACGGGGCAGGGAGAGAAAGAGGCAGAAATACAGAAGTACTTGGAATGGAAGAAACATGGCCTGGCACTGCAGCACGTTGTACACCCCCAATTTTTGCTCTGGAGTTTGCATTTTTGCAAAGAAAATTGACTTCAGATTGAGTGTGCCCTCCCTGACCTGCAAGTAGGTGAAAACAAGGTCTCTAGAAGATTCAGTCAGGCTGAGTGGTCCGTGGCTGTGCCTAGGACTACCCCTACCACTTCAGGAGTGTGCAGGAAGTCCCGCCTTCTCTCTCCCCTAGTGACAAGCCTTTCCCAGGTGACTTTCTTCCTCCCGGCACTGCCCACTGGCCCTACTCAGGCTCCGGGAGCTCAGCCACTGGTGCAGGAAGAACTTGGTGAACTGGGCACGCAGAGGAAGTTACACAGGTGGGGTTGAACAGCTGCCTCTGCTTGAAGACGGCCTGTGTTCTGGGCTCATTCCTCAGTCCTAGTACAGGAGGTCAATTCAGAGTGGGACCTCATTGTCATTTCTCTCAGTGGTCTAGGGATCCCTTGAGAGTTTGTTGATCACAAAGCCAGTGGGAAACCCAGCTGTGCTGGAAAAAATCTGAGGGTCAGGTGAGTAAGAACAGCTGGCTCAAGGGGCGTGTGCCAGCAGGAGAGCAGTCACACGGAAAAAGCACTCAGCCCGTAAATGCAAGCCTCATGTTTGGAAATCTTAATAAAGACTGCTCAGCAGAAATGCTAAGGATAATCATGGGCAAGCATGCCAGCTGGTCACCATAGCTAATATGGATTAGTTGTGACAATGTAGGTGATGACTTAATAATTAAGAATATGGGTTCTGGCCCTGGCTGGTGTGGCTCAGTGGATTGAGTGCCGGCCTGTGAACCAAAAGGTCACCAGTTCGATTCCCAGTCAGGGCATGTGCCTGGGTTGCGGGTCATGTCCCGAGTTAGGGGTGTGCAAGAGACAACTCATCAATGTTATCTCTCACACATTGATGTTTCTCTCCTCTTTCTCCCTTCCTTCCCGTCCCTCTAAAAATAAATAAATAAAATCTTAAAAAAATATATGGGTCCTGAAGCCAGGCTGTCTGCATTCAGATCCCTGTTCTGTGTGATCTTGGGTGAGTTATTTCACTTCCCTGTGCTTCTTCTCTCTCAGTTGTGAGACAGTGGCAGTTGTAGTATCTACCATAGGATGACTGAAAGAAACAAGTTAGTCACCTAAGACGTTTAGAATGGAACCTGGCACACGTGAGCTATTCTGTCAACCTCGTCATTATGTTGCCTATGCAGGGCTGGATGGCTGGGTGGCTGACACTCTGTGCTTACTGAGCATCTCACATTGTGGGTTGGCCGAGGATGAGATACTGCAGCTTTTGGACAAGCTGGGCTACAGGAATCATTACAAAGTGACCACGTTGCACTGGGCTGCCTTCCGCAACGCCACCAGACAGTGGGTCCAGGAGAAGCCCAGCGGGCTCCTGTACTTCCGGCACCAGTCTCTACGAAACGCCGTGGAGCACAAGCTTCTTGGTAAGACCTGAATCTGTGCAAACTTCTGATGGTTGAGGGGAGGTAAGTGTCGCATACAAGGGAAAGCTTGAAGCTGGGATTTCTTAAGTAGAAATGAATCTATAAACATGTATAAAAATGCTTATATAAATTAAGACTGGTACTTGGCTCACTTGAGTGGCTGAACATCCCAGGGTTTATTTTCTTATGTGAGACACTTCTGGTAGCAGGCATTCCAGGGCTGCTCTGGTGGCTCCACAGTGTCACCTGGAACCTAGCTTCTTGAGTGTCCCTGGTGCACCACACAGGCTTACATTCTCAAAGTCACCTCATGCTCGTGACCGCTAGAAGCCGCATGGCTGCTGGAGCTACAGCCATTGCATTTCAGACAACAGGAAGGAAGAAGGGAGGAAGAAGGGGTTGCATTTCCTTTTGAGGAGCTTTTCCAGAAATTTTCCACCAACATTTCCACTGTGTCTCTTTGACCCAGAACTTTGTCATTAGGCCACAGCTAGAAACGAGGGTTTCAACTGGTTTCATTCATTTCTACCTTAAGCCAAGGTGGGACTGTCATTAACAAAGAGGAAGGGAATGGATGTTGGGTAGGGATTAGCAGACTCTGCCCTAGTTCTGAAATCGAATTTTTACCCCCTTCTGAAAAAGACTGCAAGTCTGACCCTGAGAGACCGCGGCAATCACAGGCCCTACCCTAGAAGCAGAGAATGTGATGACAATTACTCTTACTTCAGGTCTGAGGACTTTATAAACCTTGAAATCACAGCCTCTGAAAAGAGTCTGAGTGCTGCGCAAATTTCCCTTTAAATTTCCTCTGTTCTTTTCCACTTTTTAAAAAGATAAATCCGGTTTTACTGTTTCCTTCGTACAGTGTAATCCTTCCCACCATCTATTACGTTGCATAATATAGCAAGAGAGCAGGGCGAGGAATGAGGTTGTTCTTAGATGTCATGTCAGCTTTTCTGCTCATTTGGTCTATGATGGGTTGCAATACACTCAACTTCTCTATTTTCCCAAGAAGGCTAACAATCTTGGAAGTGAGGGGACTAAAGCAGGGGTGTCAAGCTCATTTTCACTGGGGGCCACACCAGCCTCACGGTTGCCTTCAAAGGGCCGAATGTAACTTCAACTCCTTAACAGTCAAGGAGTAGTTACATCTGCACAGCCCTAAAATTATTTCGGCCCTTTGAAGGCAACTGCAAGGCTGATGTGGCCCCTGGTGAAAATGAGTTTGACACCCCTGGACTAAAGGGTCATGATGTGGCTGTTAAAATTCTGGATACATGCTGCACCCCTTCTTGGCCCTGTGAGCCCCCAAATAAAGTACTGCTGGTGATATTCACTATGGTCAGAGAACAGCAACAACAACAAGTGTCCGTGCTGCAGAAGCAGGCTGTACATACCAGGCTTTGCCAGCGGCAGCAGGAATGGTAAGCGCCACAGTTCTCTTCCGTGCTGCCGGGCATGAGAAGCAAGCCAGTCCTATAGGGATGAAAAAGACTCATAATCTGGGGCTATAGGACTTTAGTCTACTACCTTATTCTTTGGTAAAAGGCAAGTTTTTGACACGTTTTGACTAAATGTCATACTGATCATTTTGAGGCAAACTGGTCTCTTAGCCAAATGCACCTGTCCACTTCTTTCTTCTGAAATGCGTCCTCTGTCTGGTATGGTATTTGACTCGTAACTTACACTACTCCTGTTAGAAGCTGGCTAATCTAGAGAGACACTTTGATCCCTGGGCTCTGACGCAATAGCCTCTTTCCCCTTTGGTTACTATACTTCCCTCTTTGGTTGTATATACTTTGTTCACATGTGTGTACATGTGTGTGTACATGCATGCCTATCAGTGGGGTGGAAAGAGAAAAGGGCTATTAGGAGAGTCGAAAAGCTGACAAATACTCTTCTAGGGGCTCGAGGCCATTATCGCATCTGGTTAATATTGGCCATTCTAGCCACCATTTTTTTTAGTGCTTTCATGTTGGCATTCACTTCAGATACATCATTTCACCATAAGAAAACCAGATCTCAGCCAGGGGTCCGTCTCCCTTTGTCTCAAGGCAGCCAGGCCTGCAGGTGCCAGGGTGGTACTGGTTCCACTGAAGTGTGAGGAGTCATCTCCTGGGAGACCTGAGCCATGCATGCCCTCCTCCCCCAAAACCCACCCTTGTCAGGCTCTCAGGAGGCCCCTACTGGGAAGAGCCCTTTCTGTTTCTCCTTATAACCCCTAACCCCATGAGAGCTCCCCACAATCCAGTCTGCAAAGCCTATTTTTCAGCCTATGTTGAGTGGAAGGAGGCAGCAGAGCAGAACAGTTAGAAGTGGGTTCTGGTGTGAGACTGGGGGTGAGCCCTGGCCCTTCGACTTCCTGGCTGATGACCTTGTAATGCCATTTCACCACCCCATCCGCAGGCCCCCATTGGTAAAATGATAAGTGTCCCAAACTCAAACGGGTTCCTCCTTGCAAATGTTCAATGAATCAGTTCGCGTAGTTACGAGCACTTAGACGAGGCCTGGTCCACAGACAATTCTCAAGAAATATTAGCCATCATGAATTCCCTTTTTGTTTTCCTCCCCTGTCTCCTCTGCGGCCTCCTGCCCGCTACCTTTCCCAAGATGATCTGTACAAATTGACTGGGGAGGCCTAAGGATTATCCCGTTTCATCAGATACCCCCAAAGGGGTCTGAATTCCCTGGGGCCCACTCCAGTTGCACTCAATAGAGGCTTGCTGAATGAATGCACAGCTATTCCTGGATGCCGTTTTGGGGGGCTTGCCATTTTAGAAGCCCCCACACCTGTTGTTTAGAGAACCAGTACCGAACGTGGGCCTGTGGTGCCTGCCTTCAGCAGAGCCAGGATCTGGGGGGCAGAGCACTGGAGAGGAGGCGCCAGCCGCCTGCGCATGACGCTGCGGTCACGGGAGGGGCGCAGTTTCACTGCCCCCTGTCCTCACCTCACCCCCAGGCCTGCACGCGGTGTGGCCAGTGGAGTCCACCTCCCCTCCCACTGGAAACCACCATGGCCTCTACGAGAAATGATTTCTTCTTAAGAGGAAGGGCTTTGGAATCTGACAGAACCGGCGTGACCTTGTGCAAGGTGTTTACCCTTCTTTAAGCCTCAGTTTCTCACCTGCAAAATGGGGATGATTCCAGTATGTACCATAAGGGTACTAAAAATGCTAAGTATACTTAATGGAAGGTGCTTAATACAGCATCTGGCACAATGATGAGCATGGGGGTGACCACTTCAGCCGATTGCCAATATTTCCCGCTCTGCCCTCTACCATGGGAAGCACTGCCTGGTCCCTCTGTTGGGTGGCGCCTAGGGACTAGTTCTGTCCCATGAATCTTGACTTGCCACTGGCAACTTTCAAGGTAGCCACCGCCCCATCGGTCCTGGAGTGGATTTGGGGGTCCAGCATCCTGGGATGGGAATGACAAACCTTTGGTGTTTTAAGCCACTGAGATTTGGGGTCTGTTTGTCCACCCAGCAAGATGTAGCCCATCGTGAGAGATAACAGCACTACGTAAACGTCAGCCGGTGAGTCTGCCGCGAGAACTGCGCTGAGCTTTGTGTGCACGGGAGAGGCTGTGGCTTAGCCATTCCTCGCATCCCGTCTGCGATCAGAGGAGCACTGGAACGGAGTGAGGATGGTGGCACCCTGCTTCTGCAGTTACAAGTCATGTGCTGACCAGAGGCCAGCCGCCCGGTCTCTCTGGTTTTCAGTAGCTCTGTTGGCCATATGGGGATTGTATTCGAGTCCTCCAGAGAAACAGGACCAGTAGGAGATATAGAGGGAAACAGTGTAGATGTATAGAAAAATATTTATTATGAGGGATTGACGCACACTATTATGGAAACTTAGGATCTTGCTGTCTGTGAGCTGGAGGCCCAGGAAAGTGGGTAGTGTAGTTCCAGCTCAAGTACAAGGGTCTGAGAATCAATGCTGAAAATCCCAGTCCGTGTCTGAAGGTCTGAGAACCGGAAGTGCTGAGAAGATAGATATTCCAGCTCGAACAGGGAGCAAATTCGCCCCTCCTCTTTTTTGTTGCTATTCGGGCCTTCAGCAGATGGGATGGCGTCCATCTGCTCTGGTGGAGGCGATCTTTTCTCGGTCTACAGGTTCAAATGTGAACCTCTTCCAGAAACACCCTCCCAGACACACCCAGATGTAGTATCTCATCAGCGACCTGGGCATCCCATAGCTCAGTCAAGCTGACATGTAAAATTAACCATCACAGGGATTTTCACATCCTCCTCGAGAGACTGTTTGTAAAAAGATAAAATTGAACATGGTGTCTGATGTTAAAGTGTGTTGCACACTTTCAGTGCCACGTTTAACCCTCCAAATCCTGGACTCAAGCTAATATTTCTGCCAGTTTTCTGTCTCTCTCATTCCCCACCCATTTTCCCAATTTACGACCCACAAAAATGCCCGAGCCACACACAGTGCGGGGGGGTGGGCATTTCTTTTTTCCCCATGGGTTTCTTAGCGCTGCACATGCCACTTGGGAAAATTGGTGGCACATTTTAGACCAGCTAGCACAGAGTCTCCCCAGATGGGCAGGTAACACGGACGTCATTCCCAGCAGAAAGGCAGCCCCGGTCACTGTAGGTCTTACGAAGGGCTGGGCTGGGTGTGCCATCCAGCTGTGTGACCCACTCATCTCGCAAGAAAAAGTGTCCGACAGAAAATTAAAAATACTTGTGTATCAGTTTTCAAGGAGAGATATCTCCAAGGTTGAATGAAACAAAACCGTTTTGTTTTTGAGAAGCTTGCTAATGGGTTGTATGATCTGTTGGAACCATTTCTCTTTGGATATGAAGATGCAGTAACCTTGACCCCAACATTCAATTAGCCATTAGTTTGCCCAGCTGCCCTGTGGCCTATAGGAGATCCAGGCGGCGGATTAACTTCTCCAAAATGCATGCCCTCCAATATGTGAAAGTGCTTGTTTAAGCAGTAATGATGGTGTATATTTAAAATAGAAAAGTAGGTCACAAATATTTCCTTAGGGGAGGGAGGAAGCTCAATGTGACAAATCAACATGTTCACAAGCTTCTCAAAATCTAGGTCAGGGACCATAACTGTAAGTCATTATTTGGTAAATTTAGACTGACTTATAAGGAGATACATTTATAATATTTCAGTGTTTTTTCAAGCTACCTCATTGTCTCTAATTATGGCCACAGAGCTGTTCACTTATTTACTATTGTGTTTTCATACACTAAAAAGTCAGATGCGTTCAGCTGCAATTGATTTTTTGCATAGGTGTAATTACTCCTGTTCGAGAAAGCAACCCGCGTGCCTTTCAGAAACCAGTGAATCATAAGAAAACACATTTGCACCGAATTTTGGTCAGATACTTCCAACGGCAGACGGCTTTCTGGAGAGTGTACCAGGAGCTGCCGTGGCATATGAAAATGAGCGGCTGCTGGGGGGACTTGAGCAACTTTCTCTCAAGTCCTAGGTAAGTTGCCTTGTTTTTACGCTGTGTTTGGCAGAGTGAGCGTTTCCTTCTGCTGCTCTGCATTTAGTGAGCCCTGGTTCCCTTGAGCAGGGCTGAGCATCCCCTGAATGAATGAGCAAGACACACTCATTCATTCATTGGAAGGACCGTCATTTGGCATCAACTGGTGTGGCCAATGGATCCCCAGGGTTGCTCCCTTGGATCATCTGGCTCTACAGAGTGTTCTGTTCACCCTTTGACTCCCTGTGGGTTCCTCTCCAAGTTCAGAGGCATTCTGGGAAGAGGAGGACTTATAGCTGGGCAGGGATAAAGGATTGGCCATGTTCTCCTGCTAGACCCTCCTCTCCTCCTGCCTCCCCTCCTCACCCCCCCACTCCTATTCCCTCCCTCCCTTTCCCTTCCTTCCGTCCTCTTATGCGTTCCTTCTGCAAACATCTGTCGTTGGCCCCCTCTGTCTCCCACACTGCTGTAGGCTCTGGGGGATGCATGAGTGACTGAGATACGGCCCCAAGTCATTAGGTGCCTTCCATGTGGTGGGGAAGATGTGCAGCCAGAGAACTGCTGCACACGCTGGTAACGTGTGTGCACTGCCTCACCAGAGCAAACGCAGCCAGCTCTGCAAGCTCGGAAGAGGGAGCGGCTCGCTCTGCTTGGCAGGTCCTGGGAGCCCGCTCAGGGGAGGGGCCTCTGGGACAGATGGGTGGCATTGGCTTTGACTGCTGAAGGGTGACAGGCTCACAGTTATTTGTTGACCTACTCAAGGCATATCAGTTAAGAAGTTTATAACTGGGCTTACAGAATGTAAACAGAAGACTAACTACCTCCCTTCAAGGCATGAAATGCTCAAAGGACTTACGCTCACACACTGTGTTACAAGTGTCACAGACTTTGTATCGAAGATCCAAAGCCCGAGCTTCTGGACCAGGCTGCACCTCCTTCACTACTGGAACGTGTTGGCTGAAGTTGGGTACGATCCTGCCAGGGCCTACCTGTTCTCCGTGGCCAAGATTAAAGAAGACAAATGCTGCAAAATAAGGAAGAGGTGCACACTCTCAGGTACAGTGAGTAGTGATGTGTCCATGCCCCATTTTGCTGGGATATAGCACGGCCAAGAATTACCGTTTCCTCACGTAATTCTGATCGCCCCGACAGCCCTGTCTGAGTACTGCTCCCCACAAGTTAAGCCGACAATTTCTGAAGACAGGAAATTGAGAAAAAGTGTTCATTTTGAAATGGTTCTTCTTTCTTTTCTTGTTGTGATCTTTCCTTAGCGTTTTTTTTTCCTCTCTGTACTTTCTCATGGCTTCAACCACACCCCCAAGGCTGTATTTTCAGCCTTAACCTCTCTTTGGAGTATCCTGGCACAAACCTCACTTCCTGAGAGCTACTAACAGTATTACTGCTGCATCAGTGGCTTTCCCGAGTGACGGCGGACAGTTCAGATTAAGTAGTTGCGAAGCCTAAATCATTTCAGATTTCCCCCCAAAACTTCCTCTTGTGTGTTTCCACAATCGGCTGATGGCACCCCTCATTCAATGTGTAATTACTGTGGAGGGTGGCCTCGATCCAAGTTGGGAACACTCTTCCTTTTTAAATTTCAAATTAAAAAAAAATTTCAATTACAGTTAACATTCGGTATTATTTTGTATTAGTTTCCTGTGTGCAGCGTAGCGGTCAGACAACCAGGGACCGTTCTTCTTTGATATCCGTCCAAGGGCCTGGGCTCAGACAGAGCTTCAGTTAACATTCCCTCCCTTTGTTGTCCATCAGCATTTCCCCTTGCCTGCCTCTCTCTCTCTTCCATCCTGGCTTATTAAAGAGTCATAACCTCCCTTCCTTCTTCCAACAAGTGATAACTGCGCACCTGCCTGGGCCGTCGACTCACTGGGCACTGCTGACGCAACGAGCAGAGTCCCTGCTCTCGGGGGGGCTTACGGGAGGGACCGTAACAGCAGATGTTGAGCATTTGCCACATGTCAGACACTAAGTTAACTACTGCATATGTATTATTTTGTTTAATTCTCATAAAACCTCTGTAACACCATCACTACTGTATTTTGATTGAAATGGAGGAAACTGAGTCTCAGAGAAGTGAGGCGAGTTGCCCAAGGTCTTCCCGGATAGCAAGGAACAGATTTGGGCTAAACATGCCTCCATCTGTTTTGGTCCTTAAACAGGTAGCCTTTACCTTTATTCTCATTCCCAGGTATGACTTAGGTCATTTTGGAATTTGTCCGATCCACTGATCCTCCCTGTGGAAGGCCCCAAGTGAAGCCTGCAGGGTTGGCAGTGCTTAGGGACTGAGGGTGGAGGAAGGAGGTGGGGCTGAGAGACAGGGCGGGGCGGGGGTGTTCTGTATGCAGAGGAAGCTGGCAGCTAACCAGAGGAAGATTAGATCTCCTAGGTGAGGGCAAAGATTCTTCCTGATAATGCCTCAACTGCCTGTCCTAGCGTGGTTGTCATGGTGATGGAAGGGATGGGGCTGGGGGTTGAAAGCAGGAAGAAATCACTTAGCATTTCAGTGTGTGAGGAGTTTTAGGATGTAGGTGAGTTCCTAGTGCATCCCCTTGACCTAGGCTGCAGATACCCGTAGGGCTGTCCTGGCGAAAGTGCAAGCAGTTGCCTGCTGCTGTGTGACAACCATCTAGGATGCTGCTGACTAGTCTTTGTGTTCCTCTGGACCACGGGCACCCCAGCAGCAGTCCTGGCCTCTGTCATCGCCTTTGACACCTTCCTTCTACCTCGCCACTCAGGCTCAGTCGCCACCCAGTCCTGTAGTTTCACCTCCACGAAGTCTGGCACACTCATCTCGCACACCCACCACGTCCCCCATTTCCTCTCTCTGACCATCTTCACAACACGAGGCTGTGACCGCGTCACTCTGCACATGGCTGCCCACCTTCCTGGCTTGCCTGCCTCCCTGCTGGCAGAGTCAGTCCATGGCCAGTGGGGGGGGGGGGTGGCAGCTCCCTGAGGTACCCCCAGGACTGTATAGGTTCACTTTTCTTCCTTTTGGGTTGCCGAAAGTAGAAGTCACAAGGCCAAATACTTGTCACCAAAGCAATAGAAAATGTATTTTTCGAACTATAAGACACAGGTTTTTTTTTCACCACATTTTTTGCTTCAAAGTTTTTTCCCTATTTTCCTCCTCTAAAATCTAGGTGCACCTTATGGTACGGACCCCAGGTGCACCTAGGTTTTACAGGAGGGAAATAGGGGGAAAAACTTTGAAGCAAAAAATGTGGTAAAAAAAAAAGTGTGTCTTATAGTCCGAAAAATATGGTATTCTATTCAGTGGAACGAGGTTTAAGTACAGCAGGAACCCTGTATGATTGGCCCCAGGAGGGAGACCAGACCACAGTGGTTGGTAGTCTGGGGCTCCTCAAACATTTTTTGTTTCTACCCTGGTTGTGTGTGTAGCCACGCACAGCCCTGAGCCCATCTGCCCTCATGGGGTGCTGCTGGAGGTAAGGCCCTTAACTGGAATACCCTTTCAAAGCGGTTTGAGAGAAACCCTGTTTTATAGTCTGCAGTCTCGGGAATTGCTTGCCAGTTTACCCCTGCCTCCCTTTCTAATGAAGAGGCCTGCGCAAGTGCTCTCACTCCTCCCAGTCAATTCAACAGAACTTACCGAGTGCCTGCCTTGTGCCGACCATGGGGCTGGATGCCGGGGGTACAGCGGTGGGTGAGACACTCATGTCTCCTGCTTCACGGAGCAATTCGGCCTGAGAGGCGTGGTACCCAGTGCACGGAGCCTAGAGCAGGGGGAGAGGCCTTGTCTTAGGACAGTGGACATTATCCCAAAGAAGGGACATTTCATCTGACACTTGCAGGATGAGTGAGAACTCGGTGGACAAAGAGCAGAGGGAACAGCACAGCTGAAGATCCGGAGTTGAGCAGGAAATTAGCAAATCTGCAGAACTGAACAAGCCCAGCACAGGTGTCAGAGAGGCTGCAGAGGCCGCAGCAGCCCAAGTGCGGAGGGCTGTGCTCCAGCATGGGCCCTGACCCCGAGAGCAGTGGGAAGGCGTTGGGGATCTAAGCACGCTGGTGCCCGAGTTGGTCTTCAAAGTTCACTCTGGGTGTGGTGTGAAGAATGAAATGGACCAGCAGGTGAGAGGCAATGCTGGCTAGATGAGAAGGTGGCAGTGGGGATGCGGAGGACGGTTTGGACCTAGAATCCACAGCTTCGGTCATCAGGCAGGTACAGGAGGCAAAGCTGACTCCCACAGGTCCGACATGAGTGACCAGCTTGGTGATGCCTCCATCAGCCCCAACAGCAAGCACTCCCACAGAAGTAGGTTTAGAGGATGGAAGCCGTGTTGAGTCTGGAGTGAGAGCAGAACATGGGGAGCAGATATGCCCGGGCTCAGAGAAAGCTGGGCCAGGGACACACGGGTGGAGCCGGGACTGAGGCCCGGAGAGGGAAGAGGAGCTGGGTAGGGGTCGTCTAACTAGTCATCGGTTTTCCTCTTAATAGTCAATGGCTAGACTAACAAGTCAGAAATTCAAAAAGTAAGGGTGGATGCCAATTAAAGGCATTACATTAACTATCTGATACACTTTTAATGATTTTGTTCTCTGTGCTGGGTTGAAACACTCCTCTGATATCCCTCATTTTTAGTAAAAGCCTGTTACAGATTGTTTGGGGGCAGGAGGAAGAATCCAGCCGTTCCACATTTAAGACAGTGTGCATCAGAGAGGAGAGGGCTGGCAGCCCCGGGAAGTCAGCGCCGGAAGTGCAAGCCCAGGCGGGACAAGGGTTCCAGGTGGGACAGGGGCTCTGGTGTGAGCAGGAGTTTAGGGTGGACAGCACGGTCAGAGCCAGGCATCGCCGGAAGCAGGACGGGCCTGCAGGGAGGCGGATACGGGGCACATTCCTCTCCCCAGAGCCACCAGCGGGAAGAAGAGGCTTGAGGAGGGAAGGGCCAGATCTCGCTGCCGGGGGGAAGAGGAGCTTTCAGGCAGGCACACGTCAAAGTAGGAAGGGAGCCCTGGTTCTTGGGGACCAGCAGGGGCATCCTCCCAAATACAGTGCCTAGCCTCCCTCACCACAGATGAGTCTGAATTCCCTTTTCGAGGCTTAGTCTGTATTATCCCCATTTTTTTCGGAAAGGAATATAGGCTACTTACATTTTTGTCCCCTGCCTGCTTCTGGAAGGCAGTGAGAGTTTCCAAGGATGCCCGGCCTGTGTACTTGGGTAGCAGAGCAGAGGAGCGTCCGATGTAGCTCCCACTGCGGAGGATGTTAGTCCAGGACGGAGTGCACGCCCAGCTTCTGTTTCTCTCCCCTGGGTGTGTGGTTTGGCTCCCCCTCCTGGTTGCAAGGAGAACAAGCGGCCGGATGTCTTGGAAAGAGTCAGTCTGGACCGTGAACTCGCTTCTCCCCAGGTGTTTGTTGGCACCTGAACTTGCCGCTCCTCGCCAGCTGCATCCCTGACTGATGGCCCGTAGAGAAGTCCTTGAGCCTAGAGGACAACTTCTGTGGTTGAATAAACTTTTATAGATTATCGGATGCTCTTCTTTTTGGCTGGAGCCCCGGCTCGCATAAAAGTGAAGAAAACCCATTTCTGGCTGCAGTCTCGCTTTTTGGACAATGTGGAAAAAGAGAAGAGACAGAATAAGAGCAGGTGTGGCAGAAGGATGGGTCCCCAGCATGGGTCCATCTCCACAGATGGCTGGCTTCCCTGCAGGTGGCAGATGTGGTGGGGTGGGGAGAAGCATCCTGTCTTTAAGGGGCAGACGTTCTTATTAGGGCAAAGGGTAAATGGGTTACATCGCCGAGTCTTGTCAGAAGGTTGCAGTAATGGGACAGTGGCAGCTTTTTGAGACTAACGTGTGAAGCTTTGCCCTTGGTACCTTCAGAAACCTCTAAGTATTTTGGGTGGATGGAACAAAGTGGTTTATTAAAGAATTTAAAAAAACAGCTCTACAGAAAAATGAAAAGAACAAAAGATAAAATCTACAGTGGCCACAGAAAATATGAAATATTTAAGAATGAACTTAACAGGAAATGTACAGGATCTTGTATTTTTAAAAACTTTTCAGAAGTACAG